ACTCACTCACTCACTCACTCACTCACACACACACACACTAGCACACACACTCACTCACTCACTCACACGCACACACTAACAGACACACACTCACTCACTCACTCACACGCACTCACTCACTCACTCACACGCACACACATACACACACACACTAACACACACACTCACTCACAGATACACACTCACTCACTCACACGCACGCACACACTAACAGACACACTCACTCACACGCACACACATACACACAACACTCACACGCACATACTAACACTCACACATACACACACTCACACACACTAACACACACACACACTCACTCACTCACACACCCACACACACACACACACACACACTCTAGAACAGGGATGGGCAACTTTGACAGTGACGAGGTCCAGAATTTTTTCTCATTTATACCAAGGGGCCAGATTACTAATCCACGTCTACACACCTTTTACATCGTCTTACTAAATTTCCTTTTTATTGAAGGAAATCAAATTATAATTAATGTAATTTGTTTTTAAATATATTATTAACTAGAAAACTTGTGCAGTTATGCTAATTCAGAAGGAAAACTTTGTTGTCAGTTGACAGCAATATTACCCCAACAAGCCAATGTAAACATCTCAATTGCATTGTCTGTAAATTTGCAACAAACAAATGTACAGAGGTCTTTTTATTAGTGGCCTTCAGAACATTCTCAAAATAACCTAAGAGGACAGTAAAAAAGGGCTTATTCAAAAAATATTTACTCCAAATGGTACCATAGTATAACCGGGTATCTGCAGGATTTTAAAAATCAAATCTTTAAAGACCTAGACTTCACATTTCAGTCTTTAAACAGTTTTTAAAAAAAGGAATGAGTCAAAAGTATCAATTATTATATTAATTTAAACAATTATTATCAATCATTATATTAAATTACATATATCTTAGTGTCTTAATTGTTTAGATTTTTATAATGCATTATCTTCTTGTCGATCCACTTGTTCACATTTAAAAATATGTAGCAAAAATAGCAAAAGGGCTTATTGAAAAAGCTAATTCGTTCTCTGCCAGCAGGAGGCGCTTTCAGAGCGGCAGAAATATAGCGGTTTCCCCGGCAATGACTGTACACAAAGCAGCGCAGCGCTCAAGTTAATTCAGTGAAATCACAGCCTTTTAAAGTTTAATCGACATATTAAAGGGGTCATATGATGCTGCTAAAAAGAACATTATTTCATAGCAATTCTTGTCTTTCCGTCCCCAAATTTAAGACCATTTAGAATTTAGACTTTTTGTACCATTAAGAGTTTTCATGACCTTAAACCTAACCTAACCCTTGTCTGGAAGTGAGTGAGTGTTTATTGGCCACATTTGGTCCTTATTTCGTTTTGCCCCGTTAAAGCCTGACATATTTTAACTGAAACGGTTTATTTAACCTTTAGACAAAATATTTAGGTTTTATCTTAAGCTATCTACTTTATCCTTACTATCTATAAAATAGTTTTAAGACTATGTTTTATGTTGAGTATCGTTTGCTCCATCAGGCTTTTATGGCTCATATAGTCTGATACAGTGAGGAGGAGATTGAGTGTGAAACAGGTTTAACAGCAAAGATTGATCATGTTAACAACCTAGAGATATCAAACATGATACATCAGGCTTTATAGGGTTAAATTACTATATATATATACTGTATATATAATTTATGTATGCATTTATTTTTTACTCTATTTAATTTTTGGAGCTTGACAGTTTTGTGTTATTCAGCACAGAGATCTAAAACATAATGCTTAGTGTGGTTTTGTTTCCCTTTAAATGATTTCAAGATAAATGTAAAAAATATAGATGATTTAAATGTGAAAAGTGCTGCAGTTAAGCCTAAGCTGTAATTGAAAGTGCTGCTGTGATGGAGAAGCGCTGAGAGGAATGACATCATGAAGCGCGTCTCTTCCTGTCTGCGGAGGAAGTGCTGTGTGAGGTCACTGCACCCCCTGATGGACACAGCACTGCAGCAGATAAACACAGACTCACGTGACCTCTGACCTCTCAAATCTCTCTGGCTGCGTTCACTGGGGAATACTGTATGTGGCCGGTCACATGATCACATCTGATCAGATATCGAAGATGTTGATGTCTCTTCTGCTTCGGTTATCATTGCAAATGAAAGATCAAGTCATTGTGGGATACAGTACGTGTAATGCAGCAGATCAATACAGAAAATACACATCTGTGTCCCTGCAGCACAACCCTTATGACTGGTTTTGTGCTCCAGGGTCACATATAGTGTTCAAAGTACACATACTTTATACTGCAGGACTAATGTTAGTATGCAGCCAGAGGAGCTTCACAGAAAGCTTCAGTGCACTGAAAAATCATAATGAGCTGAAAACTTGATTTAAAATGATCTTTTCTCCATATGAGGTCGTTATGAAACAATGTATGAACACCTGAGCTGATGTTCAGTCACGCGCTTCAACAGAATCAGTCAAATCTGAGATGTGTTTCCATGTTTAAGTGTTGTGCTGATGTTCACGTTCTCAGTCAGCTGGTCTTCTGCTTCACTGCATGAATTCAGAAGCGCTGAGATGCTGAAGAAATGAAATCAAACCAGTTAAACGTGTGTGTTTGTTCAAGTGTTTAACACTCGGAGCTAAAGCCGCAACACTGATGATGATTTGAGGTGTTTAACCGAGCGGTTTGTCGTTATTCCAGCATGACGTCTCGTTAACGGAGAGCGTTTGTGTGTCTCAGGTCGTCGTATAAGGACTGTAACACTCTTCACCTGCCGATGGAGCGCTTCTCTCCCGTCAGACGCTTCTCAGACGGAGCCGCCACCATCCAAGCGTTCAAGATGCAGCTGGAGAACAACAGCCTGATCCGACAGCTCAAACAGGTACGGACACCAGAGCCTCGTCAGGTGACGCGTTTGACCATACATCATGATAAAATTCCCCACGGTTCATATTACCATTTCATATTTTAATTACCATTAAAATCGAATTCCATTACCACGATTTGAACAATAAATAAATAAATACTATCCAACATGAAGCAGAGTTTAAATAACAGTCACAGAGTAGTTTAGTTTTGTGTGAAAACATGGTGGAAAACTGAGGTTTTTAAAGAGGGCTAAAGGAATTATACAAATGAATATATGAATGAATTATTTATATTAATCTAACTCTGAAGGTTATGACTGTCTTCAGAAAAGATTCGATGGCATTTTTTCATCTTCGCTTCATGTAATACCTAATAAAGTAGTGTTTTACGGTGTTGCACGGAGATTACGGGAAACAGCTGTAATTCTGCTGCTCCATCAGCGCCACCTGCTGTCAGAGAGTGGATTTACATTGTCTGTGTGCAGCTTCTGTCTGGACTAAAAACAGACCGGATTTGTGTGCCCTGCTGTAGATTTTGACCGGTTGATGAAAAACAAGCTTATGTTACGATGTTCAATAGGGAGCAGGGGCGTCACGCACTCATTATTTTTGAGGGGGCACGAGTGAAGGAGGGCGGTGGCTCGTCATGCTTGTCATGTGACACACAGCAGCCACGATCGCACTGTATAACTGATATAGGCTTATGTTTTATTTACTTTTTTTTTTTTTTTTTTGAAATATGGCGATCTATAATGGGTGATGGGCAAAGTAGCCTAATAGTTTAATCTATTAGCCTAACTATGCATAAAAATGATTAATGCATATAAACAAACAGACAGTGCATTTCTACATTTATTTACCTATTTGCCACATAACTTATGTTTAATCCCCTCTTTAAATCCATAATGGAGCGCTCAGCACTTAAGCGCCGCGCCACCTGTTTGCTATAGCAGTGACGGGTCGCGAGGCAAACGCATTCGGCACATGGCGGTGGCAGCTGTTGATTAACTTGAACTTTAACTTACATTATCAAAGAACATTTTCACTGATTTCAGTCTGTAGAGTTATAGGGCCCTATTTTAACGTCCTAAGCACATGGTCTAAAGCGCACGGCGCAGGTGCACTTAGAGCGTGTCCAAATCCACTTTTGCTAGTTTAACGACGGGAAAAATGGTCGGCGTGCCTGGCGCGTGGTCTAAAAGGTTTGTCCATATTCTCTTAATGAGTAATGAGTGTGTTTTGGGCATAACGTGCAATAAACCAATCAGAGTCTCATCTCCCATTCCCTGTAAGAGCCAGTTGCGCTCGTGCCATGGCGGATTTGCCATTTACATGGCGGAATTTGCAAGCGCAAAGACGGAACGCTCTCAGAGATGAAACGGAGCTGCTTGTGCGCGAGCAAGTAGGTAGCCTAATTCTGATACATGCAATGACTACCCATTATGACATGTAGGCATTTTTATGTTTATGTAGCCTACAAAATAATAATCTTTTACATTGCAATCCTTTAATTTTTAATATTTGGCTTGTTTGTGTGCTGCTGTGCGTCCCTGTGTGTAATAAGCAGAGTGTACGTGCGCTGTGGACCCGCCTATACGGGCTGAAACTAGCAAAAAACATTTGCATCGCGCCTGGCGCCGGATGTATGATAGCACTCTCAGAAACTCCCATTATAATCACTGAAACTGTTTACAGTGTGAAATGAATATCTCACTTTAGTACTTACATTCGTACATCTGCACTTTGTTGTTTCTGATGAGAGAATTCGCTAGAGAATTCAGTCAGAGAGCGCGCGTGATGAACAAAACAGTGGCGTTTCAGCCATGACTCATCTAAACGCCTCTGATTGGCCATTGCATTTATAAGCTTAACAGAATCATGTCTTAATTGGTTAAAATGCGCAGCACTGTAAAAACACGTGACCAGCCAGCGAACGCAGATTTGAATTTAGCAGTTGGTTATGTGCAGCACTGAACGTTTTAATCGCACTGGTGTGATTGTATCAAATATAAAAGTATTATTCTGATATTTTTTGTCTTTTTGAAGCTGCATTCAAAATCCACTTGGCTCAAAAATTTGAGGGGGCGTTTGACGTCTCTGTGATTGTGTGTGTGCGTGAGAGTGTGTGTGCTTGATTGTGTGTGTGTGTGTGCGTGTGAGTGTGTGTGTGCTTGATTGTGTGTGTGCTTGATTGTGTGTGTGTGTGTGTGTGCGTGATTGTGTGTGTGCGTGAGAGTGTGTGTGCATGTGTGTCAGTGTGTGTTCATGTGTCTCAGTGTGTGTGCGTGTGAGAGTGTGTGTGTGATTGTGTGTGTGCGTGTGTGTCAGTGTGTGTGCATGAGTGTGTGATTGTGTGTGTGTGTGTGACCAAATGTCCCCACAAGGATATTAAAACCTGAAATTTTTGACATTGTGAGGACCGGCCTGCGGTCCCCACGAGGGAAAAAAATTATTAAAAATAGTAAATGATGTTTATCTGAAAGTGTAAGAATGCAAACAGGTTTTCTGTAAGGGGTAGGTTTAGGGTTAGTGGATAGAAAATACCGTTTGGTCAGTATAAAAGTAATAGAAGTCTATGGAAAGTCCCCACAATTCACAGAAACAAAGTGTGTGTGTGTGTGTGTGTGTGTGTGCAGGAGTGTGAGCAGCTTCAGAAGATGTACGCGGCTCCGCAGGACGAGCGTCTGAGGGAGCACACACAGCAACAGCATGTCCTCTACCAGCAAGAACAGCAGATCCTACACCAGCAAATACAGGTCCGGCTCGCTCACGGTTTAATACTGCGACTTACAATTCACTTCTCTGTTTCCATTTCCATTTTTCAGTTTTAGTCATTTTGTTGTATACTTTTGCCATTTTGTTGATTTTTTTTATTTTCTTTTGTCTATATAGTGTTTTTTTTTTTTTCAGCTTTAGTTATTTTAGTACATGAAGTGTAATAACTAAATGAAATTAAAAAATGTTTTGGTAACTAGCTGAAACAAGTTTAATTTTTTTAAATATTTTACTTTATTTCAGTTCATTTTATTTCAAGTAACAGAAATGGGTTTTTATGGTTTTAGTTTACTATAATAACCCTGATCTGACACACATTCATTGAATGCAAAGTAGGGCATGTGGTTCTGTTGTTTTTGAATAGATAAAAATAACTACACGCACTAAACACATGAAAAAGGACATTACTTAATGAATCGCTTTTCTAAATAAGGACGTGACCGAAGGCAGGTTTTGTCACACGGAACTCACTTGAAAGTAATTGAAATGATTCAAATCTTGAATAAAAGCCATGGGCAATTTAATAACAAACATACATTTTTCTAATAATGCAGAGCTTTAAAATATTTCATTAGACTGTAAATATATTGTTTAAAATCCTGATCCAGTGAATCATGAACGACTGTTAAAGATTGATTGGTTATAAAGAGCAGAAACCCTGAAGGACCATCAGCTCTTATATCTGTTTTAATTAAGTTTTAATTGTAATTATTTTAGTTACTTAGGGTTAGGAAACTCCTAGTATTGAAATCAAGACCATCATTACAGCAGAAGAGCCAGAGGGGCACATTACCTATGAATACTGTGATGGACAATAGAGACTGGAGTTGACCAGTTAACCCTTTAGAACCTGCAGCTAAAATAGGAAGTTTTTACATGTTTTATCCTTTTGACTGTAAAATTCTAAAACTATATGATATCTTCAAGTGCAAGGTGTCTTTTTTTTTTTTTCAGAAAACAATTAGCTTTCAGTTAATTGCAGTTATTGACCATTATTGTGCGCTGAGAGTTTGTAAATAGAATTTAAATAGATTAACATTTTATGAATTTGAATACGTTTTACTGTTTTTTTATTTTTTAAAAATCAGAAAACACATGAATGTAAGAATCTAACAATTCTACTTGAAAACTGGACTATATTACATATGTACAAGTCTTTTTGTGACACTGGGTTTCAGTTTTCACTCAGGTTTTTTTTTAATGATTTTTTTGGACTTCAGACTCTCTGACCTGTTGCTTTCTGTAATTCTCTATTCAAATTCTTCCTTTTCACGCTTCCCGAAAGCTGCTGAGCGGTTTGCTGAGGGAAATCAGGACATTACCGTAAAGTTATCTGCTGTCAGGAGCATTTTGAATTATTTCTATGGCGCGAACGATTGAAGAGTTACAGTTAAATGAATGCAACTTGGTTTGATGCGATGATGATGAAACAGCTGGTTTAATAGGGTTAAATAAATACACACACACACACACACACACACTCCTGACTGTGACTATGAAGGGATGTGACCATGTTGACTTCCTGTTTGCAGGCCCTGTCTTTGGGACATGGAGAAAACCAGCCCAGCAGTCACCTTACATACCAGCTACAGAGGTGAACACACACACTCACTCACTCACTCACTCACACACACTCACTCACTCTCACACACTCTCACATGCACATTCTCACACACTCACTCTTACACACTCTCGCACACACACTCACACTCTTGCAGACAGTCTCACACACTCACACTCTCGCGCACACACACACACACACACACACTCTCACACTCACTCTCGTACACACTCACTCTCACACTCTTGCACACACTCACTCTCACATACTCTCACATGCACATTCTCACACACACACACTCAAACTCTTGCAGACAGTCTCACACTCACACTCTTGCACACTCTCTCACACACACACACACACTCACTCACACACTCACATGCACATTCTCACACACTCACACTCACACTCTTGCAGACAGTCTCACACTCTTGCACTCACTCACACTCTCGCACACACAGTCACACTCGCACTCTTGCACACACTCACTCACTCTCGCACTCACACTCACACTCTCGCACACACACACTCGCAGTCACACTCACACTCTCTCTCACACACTCTCACATGCACACTCTTACACACTCACACTCTTGCACACTCACACTTTTGCACACACTCTCACACACTCACTCTCACACTCACACTCTTGCACTCACTCACACACTCACTCTCACACTCGCACACACACTCGCAGTCACACTCACTCTTGCACACACTCACTCTCGCACTCACACTCTTGCACTCACTCTCACACTCTCGCACACACACTCGCACAGTCACACTCTTACACACACACACACACACACACAAACTCACACACTCACTCTCACACACTCACATGCACGTTCTCACACTCTCGCACACACACTCACACTCTTGCACACACTCACGTTCACACACTCTTGCATGCACACTCTCGCACGCACACTCTCTCACACACACACACACTCTTGCACACACTCACACTCTTGCACACATTCACTCTCGCACGCACACTCACTCTTGCACTCACTCTCACACTCACACACACTCACTCACTGACAGACACACACACTCACTTTTACACACACACTCACTCATTGACACACACTCACACTCTCACACACACTCACAGATGGACAGATGCTGATCGCTGTGCTTCTTTCTCTCTCAGGTTGCGTATTCAGCCCTCCAGTCCTCCTCCTACGCATCCCAACAACCACCTCTTCAGGCCAGCCAATCAGAGTCCTCCGGGGAGTCAGGGGATGATGCAGGCACACGGTCAGTGTCTGTCAGCGGGAGCTGTCGTGTGATTGACATGCAGTAGCTCGTGACGCTGACGTGTTAAACTCCTCCCACAGGTGGGCCGTCTGCGGTTCAGTTTCAGCATGGCTCCGCCCTCTACCAGTCTCCCAGTGCCAGCCCGCCCCCCACCAGCCTCCCCCGCATGGCGCTGCCCAATCAACAGCCTCCGCCAGGCTCCGCCCGCACGCTCGCGCTGCAGCAGGTGACCATTCAGGTGCAGGAGGTGGAGCTGGGGGGCGGAGCCCAGCGGCAGGGCTTCCTAGCCACGCCCTCTCACAGAGTTCTGGGGAAGCAGCTGAGCGCCGATAACGCAGAAACTCACAGGTGACGCGAGTGCCGCGGAAACGCTTCATGATTGCTCTGTTCGTTTTGTTTTGTTTTGTTTTGTGCTTTTATTTTTGGTTTTTAAAAAAGAATCAAATGGTTTTATTGTTTACTTAATTTTGAATCAGTGCTGTTTATGTTCGATTAAATGCAGTTCAGCATATTTAGTGCTTGTAGATGTTTTAAATGCATCTGTTGTGGAAATGATTTGTGTAAATATTGCGAGATTCTCCCAGACGACGGTGTATCAGTCCAGACGATTGAGCGCCGGACGCTGAGGTACTTTGAGACGTGCTGATGTCCAGTGCTAGCAGTAGATGAGCGTCCTGTGTCGCGTTCACTGGAGATCTGAACTCCAGCGGATCTGAGACGGGACGATGAGGAGTAGATGCTCAGTGCTGTTAGCAGATGAACGCAGTGATTCACAACACTGAACGCTTCACCTGGAACAGTGTTGAGAACCGCTGGATCACTGATTAATGCAGTTTTCATATCAGTATTATGTGTTTTAAAGTCAACGTGAAATCAGAATTCAGTGTAAAAAAAATCTGAAATTTACAGTAAAAAGCATCAGCTGTATTTAATGGAACTTTACCATCCAGTAGCAATGATTTAAGTTTACAGATTGATTTTAAAATTACAATAAAAGACTTTCAGTGAAATAGTGTTAAAATGCCAAATTACTAAATTCAGGGGTTTTTTTACATTTACAATACACTGGCAATAAAAAAACGAAGTGTCTATTTATGCTAAGTGCAAAAGTGCATGTATATAAAGGTGCATCAGTAATATGAGAAAACAAGTGCTTCAACAGACAGCGTACTGTATTCACCCTCTTTTTACACCATTTTCTGAATTAACAACACAGCAGTGCAGCATCTAATTGATTGGAAAGGCTAACAAAAACTATATTATCTCACACCTCCTGACATAAAAATTTGGATGCACAGCTTCTGCATTTGATTGTGCATCTTAAAAAAAAATTAACTAATATTTGAAATTAGAATTTGAGAGTCCTGTATTACACACATCAGCGTTTCATGTTGACTTTAGAACACTCAGTACGTTTACATGGACAACAATATTCCGATTTTAACACGATTAAGAATCTACCATGTAAACAGAGATTTTTGATTACCTTAATCCGGCTAAAGTCATACTCGGAAGAAAACACAAATCGAATTAAGACATGTGGAGTATTCCTATTTTAGTCGCATTATGGAAGTGCAGTATAACATGTACACACCTTAATCACATTATTACCGTCGTTTAGGAGTTTTCGCCGCATTTTGGATACACACACAGCAGTGCTCAACCGTTTGACGGCAAACAAAAGAGCATGGCTTTAACAACACCGTCATCTGTTTGCACAGCATGACAAATAATTAACTGCACTTGAAGCTTTCGTAAAAGTAAATATGAAACACCCAAAACTGTATATGGCACCATAACGAAAACGAAGTGTATGTTGATACGTGAAATTCTGGAGGGGACGTCGGATGGGGGCGTAATGACGTGTGCCATTAATCGATCTATGCACTATAATGTAAAACGGGAACATGAAAGGAATATTCTAAAAGCAACTCATGTAAACACCATAATCATAATAGTGTTTTATTTAGAATAAGCTAAATAATTAGATTACTGATGTCCATGTAAACATACCCAGTGTTAGAGGGGTGGAGTCAGATCAGACTAGACTCCTCCCACATAATGATAGTAGGGGGTGTGGTTATGCTAATTAGAGCCTGTGGTCTCAGTGGTGCTCGTGTGTTTGTGTTGCAGTCGCAGCTTGAGTCGCTTCCACACTGCTATGTACGAGCAGTTTACCTCGCACATGTTCGGCGAGGGCGTGAGCGGCATCATCGGCACGTATAACCCCTACCTGCAGGGGCCGTCTCTGAAGGTGCCGGGACTGGAGGGCTATCAGGGCTATCCGTCTGCGCTGCAGCAGGCTCTGCTCTCTCCCACGCCGCTGGAGTATCGTCCGGCTCAGCAACACGTCACGCCGACCCTGCAGGGCCTGCTCTCGCCGCGCCACTCACTCACGGGACACGCCGACCTCCGCCTGCCTCCGCAGGACCTCGCCGCGCTGCTCAAACGCCAGAGCCTCCGCTCGGCTCCGCCCCCTGGTGCCATGGCCCCGCCCACCACTGCCGTGGCCCCGCCCACCAACCCACAGGACTACGGGGAGATGCTGATGCTGCAGCAACTCGGCCAAGTGGCTGAGAGCTTAGACCCCGCCCCTCCTCAGGCCCCGCCCCATCAGCACTACCATCACCTGCTCCAGATCAGAACCCCACCCGAATGCCCCGCCCCTCACTCGGAGAGCATGGAGGAGGACGAGATGCCGGCCTATCACGAGGGCCTGCTGGCCAAAGCCGCCGCCCCCTGCACTGAGGGACATGAGATGCTGGCTCCGCCCCTTGGCTCCTCCCCCACCCACAGACACGCCTACTTACGCAGCAGCACGGCGGCCAGAGGTACACACTACACTTACACACTTACAGTTCAAGTCAAGTCGAGCTCTAAGCCCCGTTCACACCAAGAACGATAACTATAAAGATAACGATATTAGCGTCCACACCAGCGGAAGATATCGTCTTGTTTATTCAAAGCGCACGCTCGTCTGCCGCTTTAAATTCTCCAGCTCTTTACAGCAGGATGGATTCTGATTGGCTGTCAATGTTTGTATCGTTCATCAGCTGGAAAAAATCGTTCTGAAAGTGATTCCAACGATATCGTTTCTCTGTGCTTTTATCGTTATAGCTGTGGTGTGGACTCTGCTATTCTTTAATTCTGAGAATGATTTTTAGAACTATATCTTTATCGTTATCTTTATAGTTATCGCCCTCAGTGTGAACGGGCCTTTATTGTCATTCTGCTTCATGTGTGGACAGATCGTGGAAGGAAGTGTTGTGTCTCGCAGGACCCCGGTGCTACATACTAGATAAACATATATGAACATACAACAATAGAAGAATAAGAAAAACAACAGTTAACCATCTTGACTATATTGATTTGTAGTGCAATGCACAGGTAAACATATATTATCATATTGAGTCTTTGTAGCAGGGAGTGTTTATAACGGGTGTCTAGTGTACATACAGAGAAAAGAGTGTTTACTCTCACTGACGATCAAAAAAAATCACAATAAAGAGTAAGTCACATGATGAGCCGTCACACAGAGAATTAGTCTGAAAACTATACATTACAGTATTTTACTCTAAAATGACATGATATCCCATTAGATTTAACCTATTAACATGTTTTTACCATAGCATTTTTGCAGTCTTTTACCATTGTAATGATTTTTACAGTGTGGACTCTCTGTAGTGTAATACATGTTCCTTACAGAGAGTCTTCATAGTCGTTCATCAGAATGTAATAATGCCTACGTCACCTACTGTAGGCCACTAACACGGTGTTAAACAGTGGTCAAACAGCTGTTTAATCATTGTAAAAGCAGTTCTAAGAGCTAGTTAGTGTAACTGGGACAAAGCCTCCTCAGAAGTGTGTGCAGATCTGAAGCTCTGAACGTCTCGTTCCATTAAGGCTGGCAAAATGTTTGAAATGTTTGCACTTAATAATATTTAAATTATATTTAAATTCTAAAGATGTCAAAGGGAAACAGGTACTGTATTTTCTCCCAAGCCCACAAGAGGGCGCCGTGAGAAAATATAAACCAAATCAAGCACAGCATTTTTTATTGAATACAATGACATGACTTTGTTTAAAGTGCTTCACATTTCAAACAAACATTCATAAATCAAATATAATTTCCTAAATTTGCACACAAAGAATTTGAGGCGATACAGTTTACTCTCAGTCTCAGTTCCTTACAGTACTGTACTGCCATGATTGAATGGAAGCTTGCTTTCGACCGGGAATTTAAAAAATAATTGCAACATTTTATCTCAAAATTCTGACTTTCTTTTTTCGCAGTTGCGAGTTTATATCATAGTTCTGAATTTCTGTCTCTTAATTCTATCTTTTTTTATTCAGAATTATGGGAAAAGTCAGATTTGTGAAATTAAAAGTTGTAATTGCCATTGTTTATTTTTTTTATCCCTTTATATACAATATTGTCAAACCATTATTCACAAGACAAGCAATAACAGGGGAAAAAACTCTATAACAAAGTACATATTATATTTAAAAAACATAAATATGCATTTTTTTATTTACAGGCATTACGTCGTATGTGTATATACTTATGTTTTTTGATTATTTAAATCTGCATGCACAACAAATATAACTGGGATTGTGTAAAAACTTCCCTGAAGAAATGTTGGAATAAAAAAAGATTTTTAAAAAATGTTCTAAAGGAAGTCACTTCTGATCAAAAATACAATAATAGCTGCTGAAAATGCAGCTTTGCATCACAGAAATAAATTACATTTTACAATATATTCACATAGAAAACAGTTATAAATTGTAATAATATTTCACAATATTACTGTTTTTACCGTATTTTTGATCAAATAAATCCAGCTTTTGTGAGCAGAAGAGACTTCTTTCAAAAACATTTTTAAAAATCGTAATTATTCCCAACGTTTGACTGGATGTGTATCTCATATGATAATGAAGTGTTTAATTATCATGAACATAATATTGCACTACAAACAAAATGAAATCAGTGTTTGTTTTGTGTGTCAGAGGCGTGTGCTGATGCTGCAGAGTGTCGGGTGATGGAGGGAGATCATAACGGCTACGGCTCACGCGCCGCGCAGGGAGACGCTTTCAGACCGCGAGCATCATTACAGAGACACCACACCATCCAGACCTGCGACGATGCTTACGTGAGTTGCCGACCTCTCGACCTCTTGTTTTTGTAGGATCAGGTGGAGCCCATGTCTGGAATGAGCTTATTGGCTGGGAAGGCGCTAAGCTCCGCCCGCATGTCGGACATCCTCAGCCAATCGTCTCTGACAGGAAGCCAGCAGCTGCAGCAGAGGGAGGGGTCAGGTGTGTAAACGCACTACACACACACACACGTGTTCTCTCTCTCACTGACGGTGTTGTGTGTGTGTGTGTGTGTGTGTGTGTTTAGCGTGTGACGTGGAGGCAGACGTTCACCCCGCCGCGTGCTACCCTTCCTCCTGCACCAGTGACATGCTGCTAAGCTACAAAACCCCGGATCTGCAGTACAGCGTGGAGCAGGCCGGGGTCTAATGAACACAGGTACAGTGCACCAACACTTCATTATTTATTATATTAACAAATCAGGATTCAATGACTATCGTTGTTTGGTAACATTTAATTTTAAGGTGTCTTTGTTACACAGGTTACATGTACTTACTATTATAAAAACATTTAATTATGCATAATTACATGCAAAGTTACCCTAAGACAAACCCTAACCACACAGTAAGTACATGTAGTTAATTAATATGACTCAGTAACGACACTGTTGTCTTTAGAATCAGAACTGAAGCATAGTTGAGTTTCCGTCACTGATGGGTTTATTACTGTGACACTGCTTTGAATCAATCTGCATCATATAAAGCACGATAGGAATGAAGATAAAACGTGAGATGTTCACACAACTCAGGCAAAACCTTTCACTCCCATTGGCTTCTAATTTTCATTTTTCTGATATTAACTAAGTTTTTTACCAGTTTTTCACATACACCGATGCACAACACAAATGATGAACTACAAATGCCAAACACATTTCCATGGATGTATTGGATGGTTTTTCATCTTCAGAAGTGGAGCTGTGTGAAAAACATCATCCGTGTACGTCTGAGCCGATAATGTATTTAAGGTGTAAACATGCCTGTTTATTGTGATTATAATAAGCATATTTTACTATGATTATGAGTTAATCACATCAGTTTGCGGTATTGTGTTAATATATTGCCTAAATCTCATTATAATCGCATTATGAGGGTGCATGCAAACATAGTGTGTATTTTGAAAAGGGTCACATACTTATGCACTATTCTGTGCTGTTTTGTAGTATTAATAATGTGATAGTGCTTTCACAGTGAAAATTCCAAAAAGAAAAAGCGCACTTCAAATACCTAAATGATGCACTTAAAGGGTTAGTTCACCCAAAAATGTAAATTCTGAATTTACATTTTTGGGTGAACTAACGCTGTAACTGAAAATGGAATGATGGACACTTAATGACATGCTGGAGGGGGCGGGGCTATCAGACTTGACTTAACATCAGCTTATGTAACTGATACTCCGTCTGTAACTTTAACACACGTGTTTGTTTGTGTGTTTTTCTCTCGCAGGGGTGTATTTGCTGTATAAAGCTCATATCCGTCTGCTGTGTTGTGCTGTCATGCCAAATCCTCATCGTCTGTCTGTTGGGGTGTCGTGGGTGTGGCCTGCACGCAGGGGGCAGAGCTCCTGGCTTCCTCTTCCGCTGGGAGCGTCTCCAATTGGCTGCAGCCCAGTAATCATCCGAAACCCCTCCTACCGTTGCCATAGCGGTGCTGTCGCGCACTCCGATGTACAAGGCAAACACAGAGTCTTACGTAAACACACACACACACACACACGAAGAGACGTCTTTACCAAACACCACAAACCCAAAGTATTTCACGTGAAGCCTGCGCCGCGGCGGATCATTCCGGTCACGATCGACCTCTTCCGCCGGGACAGTCGACTCTCACTCGCTCTCCACTTTCTTCACTTCTGTTTTTATTTTTAACGCATTTTTATGGCTAATGTTCTGTAGGAATAATGCTCATTATTGTTCTTGTTTTCTGTAAAAGACGTTTTATGGTTATGACATTATTAAAAGAATGACGATTATTATTAAAACCGCTCTGTGTTGCAAGAGAACAGCCGCGTTTGTTTCCTCACGGTGATTTTTGCACTTTCAGTTTTTGTGACTTTCCTTTCGGTTTCGCTCTTCCTCCCTGTTTCTCGTTCTCCTCCTTCATTCCGTCCGTCCGTCTGACGACAGGTGCATTGTGGGTAGTTTCTCAGATCCTTCTCATGGGCCATCTTCTTTTCTGTTTCAGAGCTTTATCGGTTATTTTTGTGGATGTTGTTAGGAAAGCTTTTGTATATTGTTGATTTTGCGGTTTTATTTCTGTTCTGATGTCATGTCGGATGGACGCTTCGTTTCACATCTCGCTCTGAGTTTAAAGCCCAAACGCGCCCAAATTGGACGATTTTTCAGTCTGACCAATCCAATAACTGTCATGTGATCGTCTGAGAGACGGGTGCGAGTCTGTGATGAAGAGCACCATCATCTGTTTGTGTCACGCTCCTCCCTCTTGTCCTTTATAGAGCTTTGTCATTTTCTTTTGTTTTGTTTATTTTTGGCTTTATGTTTTTGGAAAAATACTAAAGTGCAACAACAATGGTTAAAAAAGATTCCAAACAAACTGAGAGAAATAATAAATATATATATAAATAAAGAAATGACTATGACAGAGGTGTGTGTGTGTGTGTGTTCCTTCAGCGGCAGTACCGCGGTATGGCATGGTAATACTGTGCTACACAACCAGAAAACACCTTCACCGTGTTCGTTTATGAAGCACTTCTGCTAATGTAACTCACAGGACTGCAGCTGCTTTATTAGTTTTATAATTGATGAATTTTCAACACTCTTATTTTCCTGTATTTTGCTGCTTTGGAACAATCTGTACTGTATAAAGCGCTATAGAAATAAGCAAATGTTAGCACTGAGGTACCTGCATGTGTTTCAGGCCAGAGCCAGCTAACAAAAATAAGTTGTGAAAGTGTTATTTCTGAGTTCTCTGAACATTCAAAACATCCAGGTTTTTTTTAAACGTTTAGTTTGGTTGAGTGAACTTTAAGGGAACATTCCATTCTACTAATTTGCAAACATTTTGAATGTTGTCTGAAAGTTCTGAAACAATTTGTAACATTTAAAGAAAGTGTTACATGAAAGTATTTGAAGGTGTGCTTGTTACAGTGTAATTATACATTTTAGCAGAGTTGGGGAAAGTTACTTTTAAAAGTAATGCATTACAATATTGCGTAACTTTTTTATGGAAAGTAATGCATTACGTCACTTTAGCGTTACTTTTTCTCATCTGGGCTGGGCTTGCTTGTTTTTAATATGAAAAAGGTTCTATTAATGGCAAATATAAAAGCCCTTTCATTCCTTCAGGTTCATTCCCAAGGAAATGTAAATTCACGCTCAAACAAGCCTTTCTGGATATTCTGGATAGGAAGAACGTTCATTAGTCTTCAGCAACAACAAAATGAAACGCAAATCTTATGTTTATTTTGTTTATTTTAG